AGTGTAATGAAATGGAACCGATTTTTACTTGTTGATTTTATACACTGCAACTTTGCCATATTTATTTACTAGTTTCAACAGGTGAGTGTGTGTGCGTGTCTGTGTGTGTAATCTTTACAGTTTTCTAGTTTAAAAAATCATGTCATCTTCTAGGACAGAGGTAATTTATTTCTCCCTTCCCAATTTTGATGCTTTATTTCTTTCCTAAATGCTCTGATTATAACTTTTGATATTATGTTTAATAGAAATGTCCAACATGGTCATCCTGTGTTGTTCCTGATCTTAAGGGAAAAACTTCCAGTCTTTTACCATCAAGTATGATGTTAGCTATAGGTTTGTCATAAATGGGCCTTATTATATTGAAATTACTCAGCATTACAGAATAACCTCAAAACCATTTATTAAGTTCTCCTGTATTGCCTAATTAAAAGTAGAATCACACTGAATCCATAGGTTAATATTGAGGATACACTGATAATAAATTTGCATTCTGTACCACAGAATATCGTCACAGGAATTGTTACTGGAGAGGATGAAGAATGCTGGTGACTGAATATAAATTTATAATATTTATGATGCTACTTTAAATGAGAAATATTCATATCATTTTTATAAGGAAAATAAAATTATAAGATTTTGTACAAAGGCAAAAACCCAAACCAATGAATTTAGGAGTCTGTAAGCATTACTATTTTTTACTACTTTTTAAAATTATTTCTTTTCTTCTAGAAGATTCCAAGAAAATGGTGACTCACCAATTGGGGCCAATGATTTAGGTAATATTTTGGTTTTTAATAATACTCCATTATGAGACCTTAGAATTCTCCATGGAACTATCATTTTTCAGTTATGTAAAGTTCAAGAAGAAACAACCTGTCATGTGATAATTGACATGTGTATTTATTTTAATAGCACAGATACCATGACAAATGGAAGCAGTAGTATATGTAGACACATGCAGATAATACAGTGTTTTTTTAAATATATTTTTATTGATTTCAGAGAGGAAGGATTTTCGGCCTGGGTGAGTCTATTTTGAAGAAGTACTGTTGATCTTTGGCTCTGTTGACTAATGAGTTTGCCGACCACTGTGCTAGGGCTATAGTACAGTTTTTAAGAGGTCCCTCAAATCGAACTTTCTCAGTTGCTGTGTTTATTTGTAGGTTGAAATATATAAAACCTAACTTGCTTTCCATGTGATAGTATTATTTTTGTAATGGCAATTTGTAAATAATTTTTCTTTCTATTCATATCTTGTAGCCATTCATAGCCTTAACCTACTATAAGTTGGGCTAGTTTTTTTCTATAATAGGCTGGTGTATCATACTTTATTTAGGCTCACATAGTTCACACAATATATGTTAAAGCAGTGGTTCTCAACCTTCCTAATGCCGCAATCCTTTAATACAGTTCCTCATGTTGTGGTGACCCTCAATTTCACTGTGACAAGTTGAACATAATTAAAGCACAGTGATTAATCACAAAACAATATGTAATTATATATGTGTTTTCCGATGGTCTTAGGTGACCTCTGTGAAAGGGTCGTTCGACCCCCAAAGGGATCGCGACCCACAGGTTGAGAACCGCTGTAAAGGAAAGGATCAAATTTGGTTGTGGCAGTTACATGTAATATAAAGATTTTTGATGAATAAATGAAGAAAAGTATGTATTACTTTTTTCACATTAGGCTAGTTTAGTAAGATTAGTCTTTTTTTTTTTTTTTTTTTTAAATTTATTTTATTGATTTCTTTTTTACAGAGAGGAAGGGAGAGAGATAGAGAGTCAGAAACATCGATGAGATTAGTCTTTTTATAAAGGCACCTTCGGTCCGCTAAGTTTTCCTTCTGAACACTGTTGTCAAAGGGTCATTTTGCCAGTAAATTCAAAGCCATTTTTAATTTATTAAGTACTTAATAATCTGTTTATGAAGTAAAAAGAGCAGAAGTAAACATGACATATGCTTTGACCTAGAAGAATATAAGAAAAATAATGGCAGTGTGGAAGCAGAGGGACTACTGAACAGCATTTCTAAGATTTAAGATTTTATTGAATTATTTATTGCTCTCTGGACAGTCAAAAATGCATGTTCATGTTTCTATGCATAATTTATCCATGTGCCCTGGTGTTTCATTTCCTTTCCTAGAATGTTCTTAGTAATGAAGATTGTGTCTTAATTTGGGGGTGGGGTTGCATGAGGAAGGATTGATAAGATAAGGTATTATTTGTGAAGAGTGCAAAATAGATCTATGTAATCAATTAATAGAACTTCATGAATGACTTATTCCACAGACTCACTTTTGGGGAACAATGTGAATGAAATTTCTAACAAAATCATAAGAATTATAGATTGAATAGTGGATTAGACCAACTAGAATGGTATAATATATTCTTTAAATAATTTTCCTCTAATATAGTAAATTCTAATTTTTATAATAATGTTTCCTAATTTTTATAATATTCCAATTTTTGTAACCTGGTGCAGTTACTACAGCACAAAACAGTAACAACTGAGGTCCCTATTAAGAGTTTCACAAGTTGGACCCTCAGCCTGGAATCTATTAGAAAGGTTCTATGGTCACAATGAGCTGGATAAACTAGATTGATAAACTTTTTCTTCACTGTAGTTTATAGATGATCTCATCAAAATTGAAATGTGTCAACTATTTGAGACCCAGTGTTCTCTCTCTCTCCTCTCTCTCTGTCTCTCTTTCTCTCTCTCATTCAATAACTTTCAAACTGATTTTATTTTTTCTCAGATGGAGGACTCATTGCAGTGGTGGTTCTTACTGTACGTAAGTTTCCCAGATTGGATATCATTAAATCAAAATAGTAATGTGTATAAATGCACTAATTATTTTTTTAGTTCCTATAGTATTTATGGCTTAGAATGAAGTAACCCAGTCTAGAAATCCCTGACCTTTTATATGATAATAGAGGCCCAGTGCATGATATTCGTGCATGGAGGGAGGGGATCCTCAGCCTGGCCTGCACCCTGTCGCAATCCTGGACCACTGGCTCCTAACTGCTGGCTTACCTGCCTGCCTCATCACCCCTAACCACTCGCCTGCCTGCCTGTTTGCCCCTAACTGCTCACCTACCTACCTGATCGCCCCTAACCGCCTCTTCCTTTGGCCCACGCTGCCACTGCTTTGTCCGGAAGGATGTCCAGAATGACGTCCAGAAGTTCGTTTGACTGTCCGGTCTAATTAGCATATTATGCTTTTATTATTATAGATTCTACCCTGTGTTTGGTTATTTATATTCTCTTGTAGTCTATAGGTCCACTTAGTAACAAATCCTAAATATCGCAAATATGTTTTGAGTAATTTTCTAAATTAAGCAAGGACTCTTCTCTGGCTTACTGTGCACTTCTTAAGTGATTCCAGAGAATTGCATTTCGACAGTGAAGAGTCCAAGTAGAATATGAATGTATGTGGGCTTAAATAAAATCATATTTCTGCCCACTGAAATGTAACCAACATCCATTTCTTCTGCTGGATTTTGAAAGTTGGTATTAGTTTTTAGAGTTACATGTCATTTGTTTTCTGGTTTCTTGTAGTTCTTGGCGTTGCAGTAGTTGGCACCAGTGCATATAAATGTCTTCACCTCAGGAAAAGACAGTACATTAAACATGTTTCTTGAACTTACTGTTGCTTCTCACTCTTGATGTACTTGTGCAGGTTTTGTTTGCACTCTGTATTGCTGCCTTGTTTCCAGTGTGCTTGCATGGATGTGCTGCATTTCCTTTCTAAAATATTTTCACCTACTTTTAATATGATTGTAATAAGACTGAGCTGTGTAGATTCATTTTAACTATTGTGACTGTAAGAAAAATTCTTTGGGGGGGCGGGGGGTTGAGGTTTAAGTTTTGCAGAAAATCATGGCTCATTGTAGTGCCTCCCCTACCCTAGGTTTACTCTATTCCCACAGTGGATTGGAAGCTAGGACTAAATTTAAAATAGTTCACTGTAGAAACTGACAATTCTATTCACTGAAATTTTTAGGATAAAAGCTTCCACTTGTCTGTATAGCTGAAGTCGTTGTAAGAAGTTTTGTAGGTGTCTTATTCAGATCCCCAATTTGGTTTCTTTTCATTGAGAGTTGTTATTTGTACATGTTAAACCGGGGAATTAAAAGCAATATTGTTGGACTTTCCTCTTATGTTCTCCTACTTAACTAGGTTGCAGTAAAGCTCAAGGTTAAACATGAAATTGCTGAGAGGGGTAAATTACCAAGGCACTCATTAACTTTACCTGCCTTTTTATCTATAAAAATGAAAAAGTGAGGAATTTCAAATAGAAAAAAAAATGTACAGATATATTTTTTTCTAAGGAGAATAGAATTTGTAAGCATCACACTTAAATTTTAATTAAATAACTTGCAATGTAATAAAAAGACTTAGAATAAGTCCTCAAGTCTAGATCAAGACTGATATATTTGACTTTCAGCCATTTGTTTTCCCCTGTCATTTTGGAGATAGTTTTGAGATCAAACTAATATTTTTTAAGACTTTTTGTATGTGTGGTTTTATCATATATGTTTCTTTCATATTAATCATTGGCTTTGAGCTATGTCATAAGAGTACATTCTTCACCCATAAAAGGCTAAAACCCTTTTTTATATTATTGTTTATTTTTTTTTAAATACCCACAGTGCCTTCATTTGAATCTTATATCATCCTGTAGAACTCATGACTCTCTAATTGTAGTGTATTTTTAACATTACATATATACAGAAATCTAAGTAGGCAGTGCTCTCTGTTGGAATGTTTTTACAATTCCAAACAGTTCATGTTGAAATAACTTCTAAACATAGCAAAATAGCTTTGTGTTCCTCACTTTCTTTCTTTAAAACATCACTGCATCAGAATTCTTAAAGGTTCTTAAACAAACCTGAATCAAACCCTCTGGCTACCAGGTAAGGGCTCTATTGAAGGTGAAGAGGTGTCTGAGCGCGGTAGCCCTGGATTCCAGGCTCAGGACCACAACTGACCTGAGGTCCGTGTCTGCTGAGCTCCAAGTGCTGCTGCTGCTGGGCCGGGACGCCTGTGAGTAACCAGGTGGAGACCACCGTGGGTGCGTGTGTTCTTGAAATATGAATAAGCACCTTCAAGTTTATGAGCAAATGTTCCTCCTGTTTTAGGTCATTGTGTACATGCTCCAGAAAGGAGGTGGGGTAACACTTAGCTTTACCTGCTTTTCTTTAGGAAAAGTAAGGATTTGTATTATATCTCTACACTGTTTGGTGTCCATAATCTCTCCTCAAAAAATAAATAAATGGCTGCCATCGCCTTAGAAACTAATTTATGTGATTCTCACATATATACAGATGCTTCCTTATTCCTGAGGGTAACTCTGGAAGGAGGGTACTCGGCATAGAGAAGCAAACATTGCTGTTACAACTTGGTACCAAATGCCTTGATGT